TAAGTTCCGGAAAAAGTAACTTATAACCATAATAATTTATATCAAAAACAGGAAAAATTTACTAAGCAGAAATAAGGTAGATTAAAAATTGTTCTAAACGTAATATTTTTTTAAATGACGAAAATTTTTGTCGGTTGTTCGCCGAAAACTACAAAAAATCCTCGAATTTTAAAATAACTAAGCGACATTAAATTCATCGTAGAAGCACGACAGTAGGACCAATCGACGCAGAAAAAAAATCTGATTCCAATGATATATATATATATATATATATATATAACTCAATATCGACCAAAGTGTCGCTTGGTAATTTTTTCCTTTCCAGCGTCGATATTTTATTCTTTATTCTTCTAATTATCTTTGCAAGCTGCATGTTGCGTGTATAATATTATATTTCCTGGGGGACCGAACTTTGCTCAAAATCAGAAGAAAATTATTAATTTTCCGGATAGGTGTGTATTAAACGTACATTTGTAGGTAAAGTAAAACCGTGAAACCAGTTATGTACATAAAAAAATGTAAATATACATATTATTTTTCATTAATCATTTTAATTATTAATAAAAGTTTTAAATAGTTTTTGAAAGTATATTAATAAAACAATAGTTTTCTGTAAAAACACGGTAATAAAACATTTTTAGCTACTAAAGCGTAACTCTTCAATATCAATAATATCAATAATCATTTATTTTTGCCGATCTGTGGAACGGGGCTATGTGGGTTAGATCACTAATAAGCAATAATAAAAACTAAAAGAGATTTCCAATATTGCGAAATTTGAACCACGCACTTCATCGAGGTTGACACACCTTTAGGCAAATTATAAGCTACCATGAATTATGAAATCACCAATCATATTGCAAGCGCAAATTAAGTTTGGTCGCTAATTGGAAGTAATTGGAAGTAAAGACTAGAAATGAGTTGGATTTGACTTGAACTTTAGGCCTAGTCAGTTTGAATAGCCTATCATATAGAGAATATCATAGGGGATATGGTTGAGTAGAGGCAAAAAGTTCTCATTACACTCCTAGGGAGTCAAAATGGCCAAAAACCAAAAATTAGGGGGGGTGGCTCGAACTATAGGCATAGTCAGTTTGAATAGCCTATCAAACGTAATATATTGCTGTTGGAAATCTATGTTAGTGACAGTGATCAATGTACATTATTCTGCGTTATTAAATTATTGCAGGTAGTAACGTGTCATGTTCGTCGTCGTCGGAAGTTATGGCTTCCGGTATATAACATAGAAATGGACCTAGGTCAACATCGGAAAATATAAAAAGTTGCGCTTGCCCTATGAATCCAGAGACCGCTACGTAGTCAGTTATAGTCCAAGTTCCCAGGGCCACCAGACGTCACTTATTTTCTGACGAACGAAATGTGTAAGATTGAGTATATGTACTATGATCACACGCCTACCTGCTAGCTTGGCCAGTGGGCCATTTTTCAGGTATCAGGTAATCAAGATTAAAAATATAGCTCACCTCACGTTTATTCTCACAGCTGATTTTTATATATATGTTGGATAATACCGTTAAAAATCAGACAACAATACTCCCAGACTCTATCCGTCGGAAGTATCACTTTGCAGACGTTTTAAATCTCTCAAAAAAAATTACACAATTTGACTTACATTCTGAAACTTCATTTTTATATAATATGTTAGACAAACAACTATTTTAGAACGTTTTACAAGAGCAGACCGATCCAAGGTGTAATTCATCTCCTGTTTCAGTTTCTCTTTGTCGCCACTAACGACATCCACGAGACAATATGGGGTAGTGGATATTCTTACACCGCCACTACACGGTAGGCCGCCGAGCACGTGGAATATTATTGGTGCCGATAAGGATTCAACTTGGTTTATTGGCAATTTTAGGTGAGCGCATATCCCCTGAGTTACCATTATTTGTTTCAACTTATATGAAATGATTTGAAATATATGTAAATGGTGTTCGTGCAAGGAAGTATAGGTTTTATACGTGGTAGAGCCATGCTGCAGCTATATTTCTGGTATAGTTGTAGCACGATTGGGTCGGCTCGACCGGGGAAGGACCACGCTCTCACAGAAACGTAAAATAGCAGCTTGATGCAGCTGTCTTTCGTATGGTGAGTGTGGAGAACCAGAGAACCTTTTTACTGGAAACGAGGCATTCCATCTTAGTCCTCACGGGTGGCAGCGCATCTGCATTTTGATTCGTAATCGAGGATAAATGTAGTTGTCCATGGGCCAGAGCAACCACTTACCATCAGGTGGATTGTGTGCTCGTTTGTCACCCAAGAGTCTCAATTCTTAGCATCACATTGAATTTCTGTACTGATCTGTAAAAATATTTTTACTGCAACACGGTAATCTACTCAGACTTAGCTTTGGTCGGATTGTCAGAGCTACCAAAGCAGGCTTTTTGGAAACTCTCAAGAAAGCAATATCCATTATCTTGGCAAAGCGTTGTGTGTCGTCCACAACGTTTTATAAAATCTTGCACCGTCGAAACCTGAATCTTTTGTATATTTCTTTGCATCTTACAGATTTTTTATTCCTTTAGCATTTTTATAGTTATCTTAGAGTGTCTTAAATTTTGGCTTCGTGTTATGTAATTTTTTCCTTCTGTAATCTAAAGAACATATTCTGTTGAAATTAAATTTAAAATTTTCACAAGTTTCATAATTGATTTAATATGATTTGTTCCACGAAATGCAATCCTGATATTTAGCAGGGAAGAAATGGATAGCAAAAGGAATGCTGGAAGTGGGCACGCTCCAGTGCAATGCTGCTAATGCCTTAAGTACCAATCAAAGCTTCAAAGTTATATCGAGATTGTCGTTTTACTACCGGGACACCGGCGAGGAGGCTATGCATCACTCTGGGAATAGTCGGGTTATGTAATTTAAAATTGATATCTCGTCGTAATTTAAAATTGATATACAATATCAATTTTAAATTACGACGAGAAGACAACCTTAAGTTACGGCTACGCAATCGATTTTTAAGTTGAACTAGTAACATCAGGTCCTGGTTAGCGATCATACTGCTATATATATATATATATATGCCGCTTTGTGAAACGAGACATATCTCAGTTTTTTTGTTATTTATTATATAGTTAAATTATATATTTTTTATATTCGATATTAATGGCTAACACCAAAATATTGCATTATGTTTTTGTTTAGGCGTTACTCTAAAAAAATACAAAAGCCTATTTATCTACAAAATTCGTAAATGCATGTAACTAAATGACGATACAATAGTTATGGGATGTATCTAAGTGACCTTTATCCGAACGTTAAATGTGAATAGTAATTTATTTTTTTTATTGATTTCTTTATTGGTTTCGGTGCGAGAAGTTATCGAATCCGAGTCGAATTAGCTTTCCGAGACGATTGTGAATAGCCCGGCAGATCTCTCTCCGGTCATGTCGGTTTACCGTCTCATCAGTCTACGAGATTGAGTGAAAGCGCTTAAAAAACAAAGTTTGAAAATTATATTACTGCTTTTAAAAAAAGACAAATATGTATAGAAAATAATGATATGACGCACAGTTCATACCGCTGGACATAGAAGCATTAAATTGTGACAATATATTATCTTCTTTTTATTACGTAGACATTAGGTAAGATAGGGTTTTAAAAAATGTAAAACCTCAGGGAGTGAAATAAGATATTACATTATAGATATTACATATTATTACAGTATACATAAGTAAATAAACTAAGAATAGAATTAATATAGAATTTAAGTAATATATAACATTAATATGGATATAGAATATGTTTATTCATACTGCCTTGTAACATGGATATAGTAATGGAAGGGCGGACCCTCCAAACACAGGCATTATTTGCTTAACCCTCTGTAGCGCCGTGTGATATTGCTGTCACAAACCGATTATTTGTCATTTAAAATTAAAATATTATTTCGAGTCCGTTTCGCGACACTGTAACATGACTGTAACAAATCGATGTATCGACTTAGTTTAACACAAATAATGTAGATGCCGTTAGTGCCGCGTGACAGCACTTGTTTGTCGACCGCGCGTTCTAAACTACCTGCTTGCTTTTTACAAATGATTAAAAATTTTTTACAAATGTAAAAAATTGAAAAACGCGATATATACTGTGTAGATTTCGAAAATATACAAAATGAGTACATATACTTTGTGGTGTATTGTGGGTTTTTATGTATTTGAATGCCTTCGTTGAGTTTGACTGTCTGGCTTGTTTGTACCAGAAATGTCACATTGCCTAACGTGGGTATTTTTTTTTTTATGAAGCAGCTCATTACATGGTTCATTTGCTTTCTTTTTAGAATGACTTTTCGACCTCTTCCGGCTGACGAAATAGCCAAATTATTGAATGAAATAAACGAAGACAGTGGAGATGGTATGGAAGATGACGATGACAGTGTTGCAGATCCTGATTATCGAGCTGAGGATGAGATGGAACAAGAGCAGTTTTCTGGCGATGAAAATGAAGATGATGAAGTGCACCTTGAAGAGATCATTCATAGTTTAGAAGACAATCAACCTGATCCGTCTCCATCTACTTCTGCTGTGCCAACTAGATCGCAACAAACCCAATCTGTGGTACAACCTAGAAAGCCACTAAAACTCAACCTGCGATGGAAAATGAAAAGCCTGCTTTTGAATGAGCATCAGTTACGTTTTCTTGGAAACGAAAACTTACCAACAAATGTTTTAGAGCTTGACACGCCGATCCAGATTTTCTTGTCCTTGTTTTCTAAAGATTTAATTGATTTTATAGCAACTCAAACTAATTTATATATTGTGCAAAAGGATCCCAATAATAATTTTCGGGTTTCCACAACAGACATCCAGCAATTTATTGGCATAGTGTACATCATGTCTTTGGTTCAGCTTCCTCGAGTTACCCATCATTGGAGTATCACCATTGGAACTCCTATGATTCAAGAAATAATGCCGGTAAAGATGTTTGATAAGATTCGATAATTTATACATTTTAATGACAATTTGCAAAACTTGCTTCGCGAACATCCGGAATTCGACAGACTGTTCAAACTTAGACCAGTTGTACAAAAATTAAACCAATCTTTTTCTGAAATCCCTTTAGAACAATATCTTTGCGTCGATGAGCAAATATGCTCTACGAAAGCTAGAAATAACTTGAAAAGATATAACCCGAAAAAGCCTCACAAATGGGGTTATAAGATTTACGTTCTCAGTGGAGTATCTGGATTTGCGTATAAAATCGAACCCGAAACTGGCTCAGAAAATGTGGTACTGCCCAACGAACCTGATCTTGGTGCTTCCTCAAATGTTATCGTGCGTCTATCAAGAGAAATACCTCGCAACCAAAATTACAGATTATATTTTGACAATTACTTTACAAGCTTGCCACTGCTAGAATACTTGTCACAAAACGGTATACTGAGTCTTGGTACAATACGCGAAACAGGATTCCAGATTGCAAATTACCTACAGACAAAGAAATGTCCAAAAAAGACAGAGGCTATTCTGTTGAGTATGTTGCTGATGTCAACGGTGTGGATGTAGCAACCGTAGCCTGGAAAGATAACAAAGTAGTAAATTTAGCATCCAGTTTTGTCGGAGAAATGCCAAAAGCACAGGTGAGGAGGTATGACAAGAAGACCAAGCAGTACATAACAATTGATCGTCCAAATATTGTTGGAGAATATAATCGCCACATGGGTGGCGTAGACCTTATTGATAGCATCATGGGATGCTACAAAATACGAAACCAATAAAGAAATCAATAAAAAAAATAAATTACTATTCACATTTAACGTTCGGATAAAGGTCACTTAGATACATCCCATAACTATTGTATCGTCATTTAGTTACATGCATTTACGAATTTTGTAGATAAATAGGCTTTTGTATTTTTTTAGAGTAACGCCTAAACAAAAACATAATGCAATATTTTGGTGTTAGCCATTAATATCGAATATAAAAAATATATAATTTAACTATATAATAAATAACAAAAAAACTGAGATATGTCTCGTTTCACAAAGCGGCATATATATATATATATATATATATATATATATATATATATATATATATATATATTTGTGATAGAAAACTTATAAAAACACACCTTTCACAAAAATTCAGCTTAACGATTAAGTGCAAATATTGAAGTAATTATATGAAAATACGTCTTATAGATAATTGTAATTAATTTTTGTTACCTACCTTATAATTAAAAGGGTTTATTTATCTATTCTAATCATCAATATTCGAAAAGTTTTCGCCAGCCTCAGAGCTCTCGTAAAGTTTCCGATGCAAACTGTCACAATTATCGAAAACAAACGTCAAAGAAGTACGGTCACGCCCCATAGTAAAAAAACCCAGACCCGACAGAAACGAGACATATCTCAGTTTTTTTGTTATTTATTTTATAGTTAAATTATATATTTTTTATATTCGATATCAATGGCTAACTCCAAAATATTGCATTATGTTTTTGTGCAGGTGTTACTCTAAAAAAATACAAAAGCCTATTTATCTACAAAATTCGTAAATGCATGTAACTAAATGACGATACAATAATTATAGGATGTATCTAAGTGACCTTTATCCGAAGGTTTAATGTTAATAGCGTTTATTGGTTTCGGTGCGAGAAGTTATCGAATCCGAATCGATTTCGCTTTCCGAGACGATTGTGAATAGCCCTGCTGGCGAAAAAACAACCGCTTTACGTGCTTTCCGAGGCACGTGAGAGTTTCCTTTTTTTTCCGAAGAAAACTTAATAACTGATTTTTTTAGCCTGACCCGGGATTAGAAGCCGGGACCTGCCGCGTTTACTACCACTAGGCCAACGAAGCAGTCACTTATATAATATGTATAAGATGTATACGCAACATCAGCTCAAAAAAGAATTATTATTTACTTTTCTTAGTGTAAATTTTGGATTACCTATTTTGCTACCATTTTTCAATACACTATGATATCTGTCATTTTTCCTTGTTAAACAAGATTCACGTTTGCGTACATAATATATAATGTTTTTATAATTTCTTTAATTTTTAATCACGGTTGCGTAAATTATAAATAGCGCTGCTTTTCGTCGCAACCCAAAAATGGAAATAACATCAGCCGCATGCCCCCGCAATAAAATACCCTAGTACATTATGATGTTGAAGTCATTAAAGTAAACCAAACTAGCTGTGGCTACATCTGTAAGTTGACGAATCTTTCTTACAGTATAAGTAGCTGAGCTGAGCTTACTAGCCAAGGGAATTATAATATATAGACCCTATTGTAATTATTTATCTTACGTGGTTTAAAAAATGCTGTTTTAGTGCGTAATACATACTCGTATATATCGATGGCCGTTTTATCCAAAAACCTCAAGTTATCCGAATATGCCAAATGTTGTTACTTTCCATTTTGCATCTTTTAATATATTAATATATTATTAGTGATATATCACTGTTATGAATCTGTTTAATATTTGACAACACAGAATTTACAAATTTTGTCTTTTAATATTTAGTGTTAAATTTTTTACCGTTACCGTTACAGCCTATTGAAGTTCACCGCTGAATGTAGGCCTCCCCCATAGATTGCCTCATAGGGGGCATATTTGAGATAGTTGTCACGCTTTGGCCACGCAGTTTTTTAGTCGTTATTAGAAAGACGCTGTCGCCTCTTACGACACCCACGGGATAATATGGGGTAATTAATATTCTTACACCGCCACTACACGTTAGGCCGCCGAGCACGTGGAAAATTATTGGTGCCGATAGGGATTGAACTTGGTTTATTGGCGATTAGGTAGAAATTTGGCAAGCGCTAATCCCCTGAGTTACCATTATTTTTGTTTAGTTACATAAAATGATTTGAAATATAAATGGTATTCGTACAAGCAAATATTTTAAATTAACAGTGTCATCACAAATCACCGTTAATACTAAAAGACACACAAGAGTCTCAATTCTTAGTATCACATTGAATTACTGTACTGATCTGTAAAATATTTTTACTGCAACACGGTAACCTACTCCGACTGAGCTTTAATCGGATTGTGAGAGCTACCAAAGCAGGCTTCTTGGAAACTCTCAAGAAAGCAATATCCATTATTTTGGCAAAGCGTTGTGTGTCGTCCACAACGTTTTATAAAATCTTGCACCGTCTAAACCTGAATCTTTTGTGTATTTCCTTTCATCTTACAGAATATTCATTCATTTGGCATTTTTATATTTGATGTTAAAATGTCTTAAATTTTGACTATCAGAAAGTATATAATGTTTTTATAATTTCTTTAATTTTTAATCACGGTTGTGTAAATTATAAATAGCGCTGCTTTTTGACGCAAACCAAAAATGGAATTAACATCAGCCGCATGCCTCTGCAATAAAATCCCGTAGTACATTATGATGTTTAAGTCATTAAAGTAAACCAAACTAGCTGTGGCTACATCTGTATGTTAACGAATCTTTCTAACAGCATTAGTAGCTGAGCTACCTCATTGTAATTTACTATTTACGTGGTTGATAGAAATGCCATTTTAGTGCGTAATAGATACTCGTTATTGATGGCCGCTTAATCCAAAAAACTCAAGTAATCCAAATATACTAAATTGTGCTACTTTCCATATTGAATCTTTTATTATATCAATATGATGAATCTGTTTAATATTTGGCAGTACAGAATTTACACATTTTTTCTTTTAATATTTAGTGTAAATTTTTTTACCTTTACCGTTACAGCACATTAAAGTTCACTGCTGAATATAGGCCTCCCCCATAGATTGCCTCATAGGGGGCATATTTGCCACCGTTGTCACGCTTTGGCCACGAAGTTTTTTAGTCGCTATTGCCAATCTTCTGATTTATTTCCCTATGTCGCCTCTTACGACACCCACGGGATGATATGGGATTATGAATATTCTTACACCGCCTATACACGGTAAAAAGGTGTTTACGCTAAACTCACTAAAGTCTTCAGTTTTCCATTTGATCTTAGTCAAGAATTCTAACTTATAAAACTACTAAGTTACACACATACAATCTATCATCTGTATACAATTAAATGTTGGTAAGATTTTGAACGAAGAATGATAAATACAGGGAAAAACTGGTCCGAGTGGTCTATTATACCTGTGGTATGGCAATTTTAAAAAGAATCCATAGAATTTACGATATTTTTATCTGAAACTTTTAAATGCTATTTCTAAGATAAGATTACAACATAATATGAAAACATACCGTAATACATTAATTTACAAAGCAATGGTGTGTGATTTACACAATTAAATACTTAGGATAAATCACAGAAAACCCCATCGCATTTTGTAAGTCTTTCCGAACACTATAAACATGTTGCATTACGCATTCTCCTGCATCATTATGGAACGCCCTTTATTAAAACCAAACTGATGATCATCGAGTTATTTATTTTTGTTAAAGAAGGAAATCATCTGGCTTAGACTTAACTCATCTATGCATTACAATGCCCTCCCATATCAAGGGATAATTTAGTATCTGCAACAGTAAAGTGGTGCGACTAGCCCGCTCAGTTCCCAGATTAAAATCTAAATGAGCACGCGTGGAATATTCTTCAACAAATGGCTCTAAGAGATTTTCTGAAAATCTGATGAAGTAAAGTTAGCTTTCATGGATCTACGTCGAACATGGGACAATATTCCAAAGGGAGATATTGATAATCTCATTTTGAATATGAATAATTCTTGCATTTTTTGCTAGTTATACAAGGTGGTTATGAAAAGTATTCATTTTTATTTTTTAACCATTTCAATATTTAATTTAACTACATTTTTTTTCTCTCTTGGAAACGCATGCTGTGGCCCGTGGACTGAAATATAGCGCAATTAAGAGTATGATTATGGTTTTAATTTTTTTTATAAAAAGCGTCAAGTAACGTTATATGAAACTCCATTAAAGGTCGTTAATGGGTTTAAATATTTGGATCATTGGGCCACTGATTGGATTAAAAGATGATATTGATGTAGGAAGGAAACGTATGGTACTGATGACGCTTTTCAAGGAGTATTGTTAGTAGTTTAGTAGGTCAACTACACGCAGCGAGCTTACTAAAATCTACTTATATGTAATTATTGCGGAAAAACAAAATAATTTAATAAAATGTTTATGTCTTCACACAACTTTTTTCCATTTGTATTTATGTAACATATGGACAAAAGTTATGTGAAGACAGAAAGACGATTCATAATATTTGATTCGCTAAATAACATTAAAAAAATGACACTAAATTATATAGATATTTACACGTGTATCTTGCAGTGGTTCCATAATAAAACCGTGTAATGTTTAAATAAAATAATTGAAAATACTTGTTTTCATAGGGAGTTCTAAGAATTTATTTCACAAATTCGTTTATATTATCATGTTATGAAAAAAAAATCTAAAAACATCCTTGCTTTTATACAAATTCGCTCGAAAATTTCAGTACCGAGGTAACGTTTTCATAGCTACGGTCACAGGTGCAAGCCACAAGGTCTTACTTTTAATTGTTACCATAGCTTTGATAAATCTTTTTCAAGGAATTGTTTTCATTAAATACATGAATTACTAAAATGTTCCCAGATTGTTCTAATATGTTTTTAATATCAATATGGCTACATTGCTAGAGGAATGAAGGAAAAAAAGTAGACAGTGAAAACTTAAACCCCATTTTAATGTTTTAGAAGCCAGACTTATTTTGTAACTACTAAAATGATTGGTTTTCAATACTACTAAAACCATTCATACAAACA